TTCTGGAGAAATCCAATAGCATGACAATACCATTATATAGTGCGAGCAATGACACACTAACGTTGGCTATTTTGTCGGCTAGCAAACTGTCACTAAAGTTGCTGCTGCACAGCTAACGTGCAGAGAGAACAAGATGGTTTCCCAGAGCCAGCTCACCAGCTCCAGACAGCAATGCTCACAACTTTTCCTGCTACCATAGCTAACATTACGACAACAGCATGTTATGCAACATATGTTGGCAAACTAGAAAATGAGATGAATATCCATGGGCATGTCATTTAACGTTACCTCACACACAAATCCTGGCTGGAATGGCTCCAATTAGTATTGTGTGGCTCGGTCCGATTCCATTCACAGAGCCAGGGCTGTGTACAACCACCAGATTTTTTTCAGCGCACACAGCAAAAAGCTGGCAGACCGTGGGGAGATATTCGCTGAATTTGACAAAAAGTGTACTGGATTAAAATCGTTTTACCTTGAATTGCTTACCCCACCTTTAACTAAGAGTTGCCATGCTGCCAGGAGCTTAATCATTACAATGTATTACAATCTTATTGTGTATTTAAAACACATCACGCCTGCATTTACAACACTGGCCTGTGGAACATTCAGCCAGTTAGCTGCAGTGATAATGCAAAGCCAGTGTGGGATGTTATTTGTATATTTTAACATTAAAATTGAAAACACACATGGAAAGCCTTTGTCAATAGCTAGTGTAGGTGGTCACACATTTAGGTGATCCTCACACTTGCTGATGCTAATTGCTCCATTTCCTGAAAATCCCAGTCTTCTGTTCCAATCTTAAACAATGCCCAAACAGTGCAGAAGCCATTTTTTTGTTTAGTATTTTGGCACATTCAGTATATAGCACCACCAAAGTTCTGCCAAGCAGTCTGTTTGAAGAGAAATCCTGTATGTTGTAGCATATTCATATGAGAGTCACACTGGCATTTTAGCACCAGCTGGAGAAATGAGATTATCCTATCAGCAGTGTACAGAGTTTTTAGCCCAGCTACTCTGCCAGTCCTTCTGGACCACAATGCCGCAGAACAAAGAGAGGAGGATGCAGAGTTAACCGCAGGGTGATGAAGCAAATCTTTTCTGGCCCTTCAGAGATACAGTTGTTCAAACTAATCTCACTTTTCACTTTGGTCTTCATGTTGTGAAAAGCTATGGCTTATCATTTGGTAACTCAAGGCAGGGGATTGTTGCATTCCTTGGTTAGCCCTGTTTCTTTTTTCATTTTACCTGTTGTTCTCTTCTTTATTGCTATTCTTGTGTCCTCGCTGAACTAGACTTTGTGTTTGCAAACTCATTTTATGTTTTGTTTTAACCTACTTAACAGATGGGTGGGGTTTACGACATATAGGACAGTAAAATAAGAGCCACACATTACAATCAATTACACACATTGTGTTAAAAACTAGTACACGATCCTTTGATTGATAATCTGTCTGCGTTGTCCTGATGCAGTAATTCCAACTGATCTAGTGCTTCTGAAAGAATCAAACAAATGCTAACAGTTGCTGTTGGATCTCAGGTCTGATTATCTGGTGGGGTTGATGCATTTTCTCATTTAAAAAAGAAATTCTCTACTGAAGTTAGACTAGAGAGAACAACACATATTGCTCTCTAACAAAGATCACAACTACAACTGTGGAAGGTTTTTGTCTGCCACCTGTTACTTCAAAGCGCATGTGTCTAAAGACACAGTCTTAAGTTCCCATAGTAGGAACAGTACACAACCAGTGCTCAAAAGATTCAGACATCACATACTCTCACACACAGAAACAAAATAGCAAAAGAACTCAATTCAATGGTTTCCTTTTTGTTGCGCAAGCTCAAGTACCGTTGGCCTCAGGTGAATCAAGGCTTTAGAGCAAAGTCCTTTCCCCATGTAGTTCTACTAAAAAGCACCAGTAGAGTTCAGCTGGTCCTGCACCCCTACTGCCACTGCCCACCCCTCAATCCCTCTGCGTAGCAGTCATTAACTGGTGGCAGTCCAGATCTCCTCGCAGCTCCAGAGGGCCCGGCAGCCTCATGCCTGTCTTCTGATCCACACACCAGCACTTTCCCCGCTGGCCATCACGAGCGGGGTGACACTGTGGACATTAAAGATACATAGAACATTCTAGTTACATATAACAGCTTCTTTAACAGGTTCTAGCACAGGGGCCAGCAACCTTATTATCAAAAGAGACATTTTTGTCCAAAAGTAAAAAGTAAAATCTGTCTGGAGCCACAAAATATTTTCAAGCATTATAAAGCCTAATTTCTTGCACACAAATCAACCATCCGTGTAAGCCAGGAGTGTTGGTGGTGAAAGCAAATCTGTCCAGGCACTATTCAATTCTTTATATTTTTTTCTTTTCATTTTGTTTTTTTTTGGGGGGGGGGGGGGGTTTTTTTTNNTTTGGGGGGGGGGGGATTTTTGGATTTTGGAATCCAAAGCTAGCCTTGTAGCCACCGCTATTGAGATTTGGGAAAATATGCAGGAAAAAGCATCAGGTCAACACATAACCTATGACTCACATTTTAGTTGACAAAATATTAAAACATTTGTTTTTATTCGGTGTGTAATGTAACATTTTTACAATTGGAGAATGTAACATCAGCTTAGTTCTACAACAATGATCAATGAAAATATTCAAAAAATAACATAACTTCAAATATTGAAGTGCTCTGATAAATATTGTTATGGTAACAATGGGTCAAATGTTTATAATGATAAACCCGACCTTGCCGTTCCCCTCTGGCATTTTTTAAATCAACATTTTTGTTTTACCGCTAGCAACTTTGTTATTTTAGTTCACTCTCCCCGTTCCCAACAACAGCAGGTAGCTGTTTTCAACAAAAAAAGCTTTAAAACCCCCGTACATTATCTGCCCAACACACTGACTCGTCAGCAACTAACTGGTGAACAGAGAGCAGCATTTAGCAGCTGAAGAGAGATATTTGCCTCAGGAGTTGGGGGAGAGCAAAACAGAGTGACTATTGGACTTACATTCATCAGACGAACACAAACACAACACATAATGGATGCTAATGTTGCTCTGTATCTGCTGTGTTTGCTAACATATTTTACAAGGTGATAATTTGTCATTGTTGTATTTACAGCCTGTTGAAGAATCAATGAATGCAGGTTTATTTAGAGCTGAGCACTAGGTTAGAGGTTACCGAGCAGTGTGATTATCTAGACAGAGTAGATAATGCTTTGTTGGCAGGGCCATAATTCTCTCTGACAACCAACCTGGCTTTTAAACTTTTAAAGACGTTTTCATTGTTTTGCAGCAGTGTTTGGCTGGAGTTTGTCAGGTGTAACATAATTATAGCACTAGACCACATCAAGACAATGTTGTCTACTTCTACATTAAGGCAAACTACATCCAGCTGGAACTTAACGTTGCCTTAAACAAACTGTGAGAAGTATCTCAAGTCATTTGATGATTTGATTCAAAGCCTCTCTGATTCCTTCTGTGAACTTTGAACAATTCCTGTAAATACAAAATTTATTGCGTGATTTTGTGCTTTCTGGTGATTTACAGTTTTCAAAAAGCCCCCAAGACCAGTTAACAATCTTAGAGCTACCCTGCCATGAAATGATTCCCAGTTGTCCCTCATGACCTGTGCTTTACTTCCCAATAGGTTTTTTGTTTTTTTTATCACAGTGCAGTTTTAGTTAAACAGTAAACAGATGCCTGTGAGTGTGAGCAGACAGAGATACTTGAACTATGTTACACAACCTCAGACTCTTGATGACTGGTGCCTTAGCATAACTTTCCTTTTATCACTGACTCTGCGTCTGCTGCTTTGATTGCATATACAAGTCAGAGAGGTCTTATCTGTGTTTTTATGTTAGTCTCTCACTCTTATCTGCGTAGTTGCCCAAACATGCAAAGGCAAAATAACGAGTAACTGCATCCAAAAGCTAATTGCATCCATCACAGCAATAAAGTGATTATTGTCCAACAGTTTAGGGGAAACCACTTTACACACGCAGCTCAACTGAAAGTAAATCACTTTTCATATGAGCTTAGAAAAATAAGGTCTTGGCATTACCAGGACAGTCTGCTTGGAGACACTTTTGTGTTGATCTTGAACTTAGCAAGACAATATTTCATCGGCTGCAGGCATGTTTTGTGTTTTGGCCCACAGATTGCTGATGTGGTTTGAAAGGAACTGCTTGAAGTACAAAGATAGGCATTTTTATTTGGATTGGCTAAATAATAGAGATTCACAGTTCACCCGTACACATGGCCAAATAGTGGTCTGCTCAGTAATTCAATAAAGCTCATAATGAGTGTGTGCTTGAAACCACAGACCTGTTTAGCGTGGAAATCTCCATTCTTGTCACAGTTGGGTATGGGGATTGTGAAGAGATCATCATGCGTGCGGGTATTTGATGCCAATCTGTCCAATGCTCTCTGCAGCTCGGCACGACATGGAGCCTGTAGGAGAAACCGTTTTTTGATTAAATGTTTAATCACATCAGCAGACCTGTAGACGTGTGTAGACATTTGCAGTAGCGAAAACTGCTGTGATAAAAAGAAATGCCAAATTCGTATCTTAGATAAAATCTAGACACAACTACCATACGTTAAGGTATCATTTCAATGTCTAAAAGAAAAGAAAATAGTAAAAAAAAATAGTCGCAATTCAATACTGATGCTTCTCTATGACCTACATAAACACACAAGAAGATTGGCTATTTTTATATAGTTATACTTAATGCCTGCCACCGGGTTGGATTTGGTCAGATTCTCCTCCAAATCAATGAAACAAAGCAGTGGAAACACACCACATTTGTCCACAGGGGCCACCAGAAACAGCACAATGAAAGTTACTTGTAGGGGCTTTGAGGTTAAATAAATTCGTAAAATAAATGCCAGAACAAACTGGGAAAACAGGACATGTTTTTGGATTCATACTTTTGTTCTCTATTGGGGTAAAAGATTATTACTTAACCTGCTGAGCACATTGCCTCAAGTGCTCATGGGAACTCATGGCTGTTGTTGCACAGAAGAGTTTATTCAGTATTTAATTATATTATATACACTGTGTTGGAAAAAAATGGGAAACATAGTTTTACTGTCATGATTTATTTATTGAAATCATAATCAAAGTGCTGTTGTGGGACTAAACTCAACATCACACAGCTTTTTATTTGACACCAAGAAATGTCAACAGACTTACATTGTACATGTATCTGCAAATAGTGCTTTGAGTCAGCTGCAATGAATTCACAAGCCAACTAATGATTGCATGTGAATGCTTCATTCTGGCAGCCTTTTTAATCAATCAGCACTGCCAATCAGAGGGCACAAACATTTTAGAAACATTTAAAAAAATAAAAAACGTAGCTATCCAAAACGAAAGGTAAACCTAAGTGGGTGGGCAACCCGAGTAAATCTATATGTGTATATATTTGTCTGTATGTGTGGCATTCATATAAGAAATTTCTTTTAAATGAACGTACTAAAATGTGGTAAAACCAGTCTGTTACTGATTAATAGGGATGTTATGATCCTGCTCTTGCCAGTTTTAAAACAGAAAATTGCATGTTGATGTCAATGCGCACCTGTACTTTATTTTGCAAGACCGCAATTAAATGTTACGGTCTGTAAATAACTAATTTGTACAATTTATAACCTGACTGTTACACTTGTGGCTTTGGAACTATAAAGTCTTAATGTGAAACACCTGCTGGGGTTGAGGCATGTGCTGCAGAGGGGATTGCCCGGATTGGTTATTTGCTGTGAAACTGATAAGATGTCAGAAGTTTCTCTCACCAGCGCCGCCTTGGTCTCCTCCCTGGCAGTGTTGCTTCTCTGATTTGTGGATTTTGGAGGGTGTCGGGCCAGGGTCTTCTGTATGCAGCGCTTGTCCTGTGGACTGCACCGGATGTTGCTGTTGTTGGGATGCTCAGGGGTTATCTCATCCTGCCTGTCCATCGCTGAAGGACAAGATATAGTGCTTTACTTCCTTGAACTCAACAGCAAGGTGAACAATGCACTGTCAAAAGTACTGCATAAACAGTTTGCCAAAAACATTTGTAGTGCTCATGTTGCATAATTATCCATGCAAGATAATAATATCACGTCTTAATGATATCTGCATAATTAAGGGCAGCATCTATTATTTTAATGATTTGCTATATAGAGCAGGAGCTGTTCTGCTGCTCCTCCTTGTCCTTCTACATAACATCCCATACAGCTGAACATGGTGAGATGTAGGCTAAAAATGAGGCCAGGTTAACCTCAAGGACACAGAGCTGTGTTCCTGCTCCGGGGGGGTAATCTGTACCTCAGCTCTTGCCCTGGTACTTTTCAACTACTGCACCACAGACATGCCACGAGCTCTGAGGCTTTTTAAACGATACCACCCCTGTTCTGCCACCCTCCGTACATTGTGGTCTGTGCCACATTCACCTTTGCATCCCTATAATCCTGCATTTCTGTGGCCCTGCAGGCAGCCAGCTGCTTCCTCAGGAAATGCCCCCCTCCCTCTCCATTCTCCGCCCCTCCACAACAACCTCAGTCTGAGCCAGATGGCGGTTGTTAGAGGGTATTTGCACTGTCACAAGTGGGCACAACTGTGTGTGTATGTGTGTGTGCTATTTGGTGGTTGGGGGGCACAATATGGGTAAAGTGAGGGATAAAGGTTGTGTGTGTCTTTCTTTGTGCTCATGGTGTGTTGACTTTCACCTGTGGCTTGTAAGACTTGGCAGCATTTGATGCTTTCTGCTCATAACCCATGGCATTTTACAGATTGGCACTGGAATCAAAGAACTTTAAACTGCGGTTTCACCATTTTGAAGCTGTTCTCGCTCTGATCATCGAACCAGATCTGAGCTCTGGTTAATATCTAAGGTCACTGCCAGGCATCCAGTTAATTACTGTTGGCAAAGAGACAATGATGGTGGGTCAGTAGTAGCCTCTTTAATCCTGTGCAATGTGCAGCCTTCAGGTCTACAATGCAAGGCACACACACATTCAAAGCAGTGCAAACTTTTCTTTGCAGTGATAGTTCTCAAGCTAGTCCTGGCCCTCCGGTATTCAGGATATTGATCCTGGGCCATTTTATGTGATGACTTGAATTTTTTACAACTCAGCAACAGGAGTTGGAATGTTTCTTTAAACTTCATAGACAGTCATCTTGCTTGGCTTGGCTTGTCTGGGGGGAAGTGTCTTCTGGCTGTTTGTATTTTTAGTCTTGTTGCTGTTAAGCCTTGCTCATCACTTTCTTCCACAAGAGCCAACTGCGTTTCAGCTGTTTCCTTCGTTCCAAGTTGTTCTTTCTCCTCTTTTGCCAGTTCACACTTTTCCGATTCCGCGCTCTATCGTTGGGCGAGCCAAAGTGATTTAGAAGTGGGTCAGGGGTGGCATGTCCTGTTTGCTACCACTGCTGTTTTCCATGAAGGAAGTTGTCACTTCTCTGTGTGGTTTCATATGATTTGGATCAGCAGCTCTTGGCTTTTGAAACATAATTCCTACCGTGTATTATCAGCTCTGGAGCTGATACATTGCAGTGCATTGCCAGCCACAGGTGCACAGCAAAGATTAAGAGTAAATATAAGTAAGTAAATATATACTCATTTTGGGTACATTGTACTTGATACATTGTAATAAGTTGAAACTAAGCACACAAGGGCAACAACAACAAAGACCGCTACCTGTCTATTAATCAGCAGGCTAAATTCATCATCAGATTAATGTGTAAAATCTTTGTTTTATTTTGATAGCCTAGTATGAGGACAATACAACGTGTGATTAGCAGATGGCCACATAGCCAGTGCTGTTATATATATATATACATATAATTACTGTGAAACAGCACTGAGCATGCAGTCCATTTTGTTAGCACTTAACTGAAAAATTCCAAATCTATTACACAATAAACTGCATTGTTTGCTCAATCTAGTTCTTAGTTAAATATTTGTTGTCACATGTCAACCGACGCAGTTTCAAATGTATTTGTCACACTGGCCACCACACATGTGAGCATCATTCCTTAAGAAGTGAGAGAGCGAGCAGTCTGATTGGCAGGGTCTCTCCCTCTGATGAATACATTTTCTGACTGGGGAAGCATCACTTTCATTGTTGTTACATCATGTAATCTGCATTATGACAAGTGCATGCTACGCTTCTGCTTATATATTTGTCAATCCATGGAACACTAATGTGAGGAGCTAAAGGGCTCATCAGTTTTCAGATTCTGCTGTCAGTGGCTTTAAGGCTGAACTTGTAAACCTCAGAGACAAATATCCTCCTCAGATAAATATTTACTTATGCTCAGTGAGATTGGCAGAGTACTTCCCTACAGTTTATGCTTCCACTAGCTTGGATCTAGGATCTAAGCCTAACGAGAGTCTATGTGCGACATTTCTACAAAACCTGAGATGCACCCTTATAAAAATGACAGCTTCATTTGTGCTCTATTTAATACAGATACACAGAGGATAGTTTGAAATCACTAAGAGTAGCTGCTGAGTAGCTTCCTAAGAGTGTACAGAGCCTGATTGATGTAGGAGCCAATATTAGCTTATCTAGCTTACTGGCATATGGGCAGTAAGTAACAAGAACATATGTAAGACAGGCTCACTTTTCAGCTGTAAAATGCTCCACTCAGTACATATTTTGGACACAGTTTTTGTAATGCTTTCTAATAGGATGTTTGATCTGTGCAGAATGCTGTCTGTGCAGAGTTTGACACTAAAAACATGTTTTCACATTCATCTGCTGAAAGTAGAAAGCCACTGAACATCTTGTTTTTGCTAACGTCCAGGAGTTTCATTTCTCATTTTGCCGCAGTAGAAGAGAACTTCAAGGTGTGTCTGTACACTGTGACATCACTGTTGGGTGTGGTTATATGTGCAGCTAGTGCAGTTGTAGGTGCACCATCGCACATTTCTGACTAAACACTGAAAACTTAATCAAAGAGATAAAAAAAGAGTTAAATTACTCTTTAAAATGTCAGTTTATGTCATGTTTATGTAAAGAAAATAAAAGATCAGATATCCAAAATATAAAAGAAACAGAAATAAAATGGGAGACCAATGGTGCAATCAGTGTTTTAAAGTTTTTTTAAATGTCCAGTGTGTAGGATTTAATGGCATCTAGCAGTGTAGTTTGCAACTCCCTCCCTTCACCCTCCGCTTCCAAGTGCGAAGGAGAAACTACGGTGGCCATAAAACTCAAAAAAACTCGAACACCCCTATCTAGAGCCAGTGTTTGGTTTGTCTCTTCTGGCTTACTGTAGAAACATGGCGATCCAACATGGCTCCATGGAAGGCAACCCACAGCGTCTGTACATTAAAAAGGTCATTCCAAGGTCACAAAAACACAACTATCCTTATATTCAGGTGATTATACACTAATGACTTTTAAGTAGCCATTAGCCTTTAGTCGCAATAAAGGATCAACTACTCCATTACTGAGGCCTTTGCCTCAGCCAGTGTCATTCCTGTTCTGTCATCTTATTAATTTATCTTTTTCAAACATAGGGATTGGCCTGTTTTTAACAACCAGTCCATAAAACATGCTTAGATTGGCTTAAAATGTGAGTTTTGCAAAGCAACAGACAGACATTGTTTATAGTGTTATGGTTCTCCTTGACACTTGATAAAATAGATTGCAGCACATTGACAGTAACTAATCATCTTTTGAGAGGCTACTCCTCCAAAATGTTTTGTACCAGTATGTTTTCAAGAGTTTCTGGCTGTGAGCTCAAAAGTCAGCAGGGCTTACTACCAAAAAACTGTTCTTTTCAGTCAACACTGGATGCTGCCAGAGTATCAGGTCACTGGTTTCCAGGCAGAGGATTTCTTTGAATCAGTTAATCATCAGAGTTGATGTCTAGTGCAGTTACAGGAACACTGTTTAAGACTACCGGCATGTGCTGTAATAAGGCCAGTGGAACTTTTTATAGTGTCATTTGTCAAAGGAAAGCTTGAAAGTTAAATGAACACAGAATCACAGACCTTTGTTGAAAGGAACCCTGCTGCTGCACTCTCTGATACTGCTCTGGTCACTTCCCATTCAGCTAATGTTAGAACAGGCGTCCAGATGTACAACATGTTTGAGTCCAACGAGAGCAGAGCAGCAGCAAATTACTGTCCTCTTTGATTTAGTGCTGATTTACCCTTCAGGAAGCCTTCTTTGAATCCTAAATTATACTTTTTAATCGGACAGGTGTTATAGATTATATTTAGCAGAATGCGCTGTTAAACATTGCCACTGCATAACTAAGTTCACAGAAACTGAAGCCAACTATAAAATCACCATCACTCTTAGCTGTGGCAGCTTTCTAACAGGTTGTTAATTTTCAATAAAGAAAAAACAATAGTGTACTTGTGTAATATTTCCCTGTCATGTTTTGGGAACTTGTGAGAGGTGTTTCCCACATCCCCTGCCTCTTTTGTGATTCATGGTTTCACTCTTCATTTAGATGAAAACATGATCAAAGACATCTGGATTACTATCCAACAATATAAACTGAACTGAACTGAGATATTATAGTCATCTTTAACCTCAGGGGCATAACTCCATAGGCTGGACTCTATCCACTGCTTGTTTAGTAGATTTATTTGCTTGCAGATCTGTGAGTAAATTTTGTCACAGTGAGTTAGACTAATCTTAGCCATCCATCACTTGTTGATACACTGATACTGCTACTACATGTAATGAATAGATCTATGAAGAGAGGGAAACCTGCAGCTGCACCAAATTAGGTCAAACTATTCTGGGTTACATCATTAACTTAATTTTGAGTGGATTGTTCTTGTTTTAATGTTTGTACAGAATCAGGGTCTTGAGTAAAAGTGCAAGGAGAGGAAATTAACACAACAGCATTTCTGCCAGCCGGTGAAGGGGTGCACTACCTGGAATATTGGTAACAGAGCATTTCATCTTTACGAAAGGCACAAATTAACAGTAAAAACCACTGCTCAGAAAATAGACTTCATGATCAAAATGACCATTTATCAAGACATTGAGATATTGAGATATGTTCATGTATGAAATCTGAAGGATTCACTGTTGTCCGCCGATTAGGGCTTTTATGTTTGTGTATCTCTCAGCTCCAACACTAGAAGGGGGTCCCTGTCCCATGGAGGACAGCAATTAGCTAATCACATTTACTCCTGCCCCAGCTGTACAAATGTGCCGCACAACCCAAAGAAAGCAAATACACAACAGGGACATCTGCTGAAAGAGGTTTGGGAAAAGCCTCATATATACATTCACATCTTTAACCAGTTCACAACTCCCAGAACGTGCCGAAGAGCCCTCGCTCGTAGGAGAAAGGAAAATCTAGGTTAGCATGCTGCTTTCATAAAGACCTGTCTGCGTCACAGCAAATTGGGCAGAGTTGGACAGAGTCTGGCTCCACCAACAGCTTCATTCATGCAACTCCTTCAGTGCCTGTAGGTGTAAGACTTTTTATATCTGACATCTGTATCAGTTTGTTAATAATATCCGTTTCACTGTCAGGGGGAAGCATTTGAATACGACACCCGGGCAGACCCGGCAGGAATGTAGGAACAGACGCCAACACATGCATGATGATTGATTCTAAGTATTAAGATAGAGAGGGCTTCTAAGAATGGGATATTAAGATGCACTAAAGCTGTCTTAGACCTTGACATAAGATGCAAGATAGTGCTTGTTGCTATGGAAATTTGGTTCAAAATAGCCTTAAGGTTGATACATTTTTGAGAGAAATACACTGTTTTGAACCAAAGAAAAAGGACTAATAACTCTTGCCAGCCTATTTTCATGTATTACCTTTACTTAGGTACTTTTTATTGGTAGTTAGCAGCTAGCCTTCAAAGTGACAATCATGAGTCAAATCTTTGCAATACAAATGTTATCTTGCAGTATTTAGATGAAGAGGTGTAACTATTAGCCTGAACATCCTAAATTCCCTCCAATGGGCTGTCGAGATCTGCCTCTATCCCAGGGTCCTTTTCATTATGAATTCTCTTGGTTTTTAAAAACCCTCTTTCTATTTTTATCTAGCATGTTCACTGTTGCTAGGAGTGGGGCAGTGTCAGACATGTATTCAGGAGATGCACCCCCTTGTTTAATAATGCATAAGTACGGTGAATGTGCCACAAAGGAAATCTCCTGCTTGTGACTGGAGTTGCTCTCCGCCTCTCCCCCGTGCCTTTCTGATTGTCTCTCTGCTGCCATGGTTTACATTCAACATTCTTATACAGCAGATCTGAGCTGCTGCCCAGAAGAATTGATTTACAGTGGGATTTATTGGGCAGAGCTTCCCTGCTTTGTTATGACAGACTCCAGGGTTGAGAAGGAGTGTGGAGGCAAACAGAACTCAGTGCTCATATTACAGAACACCAAAAACAAAACTTATGAACTTTCTAAAATGTTCCAACTACTGCCTCCCCACCCCGAAGAAAGGACCTGAGACTCTCCCCAGTGCACTGTAACCCAGTTCCGGGCCAGCTGATCGGACAATGCAGCATCAAAGAGCAGAATGTTTCAGGGCTAACAGGCGGGCCAATCCGAGACAGCCATCCATTTTTATCATGCTCTAAACAGCTTGCCTCTTCTTTCTGATTCCATTTAGTCATGCTATGTGCCGGCCTAACCTATGCTGGCCCTGCACAGAGAGCAGAAGGCTCTCATTTCAGCTCTGGCAGCAAGAGTGCCGATGAGCTCATCCTCATGAAGGAGCTGGACGTGGTGGGCGATGCGCTCAAAGGCTTGTTAGGGCTGGAGGGGGGAGGGGAGGGGCAGGGGGTGCACCCAGGGCCAGGGGAAATAGATGCTGCAATGGAGATGAGCATCCTGGGAGCTTTATATTGGCTAAGTTGATCCAAATCTTTGGTGTTCTGGCCTTAGCAGACGACCTACTGTCATTACCAGTAACTGTCTGGGATCCTGGGCCAGTTAGATGATAATCTGGAACAAATGAAAGAACCACCTTGTCTGTGACACGTTCTAACAATTGTCTCATATGGCATAATGGAAATCAACACCACTCCCTTTGAGCAGAGCACAGGAAGGCAAACAGTCGAGAGCAGTTTCCTCAGCAGAGAGAAGTTAACGTCAAAGCAGTGAACTGGAACTGGATATGCAGATAAGACATCCAGCACTAGACATCCCACTGTGTGAAAGTGGAAACAGACTTTCTTCTTTGCAAAAGGAATGCAACAACAAAGAGGAGAATAAGAAGTCAGCCCAGAGGAGTGTGATAGAGATGTGGACAGTAGAAGAAGAGTTAGACATCTGCAGCAGGAGGAGGAGGAGGAGGAGGAGGAGGAGGAGGAATGGGGGCGTCCATGAAACAGCACCCAGTGAATTACTGATTGCAGAGAGGTCTAATAGCCCCAGACTGGCCACACTCCATTACAGTCATTTCATAGAGCAGCTTTTATTACCTCCTCCCATTACAAACATACACTCACATATTCACTTCCACACACACACACACACACACACAGACTCTCACATTCCCAGTACCACCACAATGCATTTCACTGCCTGCACTACACGACTACCTGCAGGATCTTAGTTTAACATTGGCATGATGAGGTCATTGCACACCCAAGGGTTGCTGGGAATTTTTTGTGTGACTATCTGCATTAACCAGATGCTCCAAAACAGTTAACTATTTTGCACGCCACACAGTCATACAGGAGACACAGTACAAACTCCTCGCACACACTCACATGCACACACGCCCACTCCAAGCTATCACCACAGCGCTCTCATCTCTGAAGCCTGCTCTGCGTCTTACAGCAGGGCCCCTTTCACTGCGAGCGGCTGCAAGACAGCAGAGGGACTGTGTGCGCTCTCCCATCAGGCCATGCGTGAGGAGCTGGTGTGTGTGCACGCTCTGGTTCGGGGCTTAGCCGAGATTAGGGTAAACAAGCAGCACATTGTCACACCCACACACCCCCCCAACTCTGACCCTGCCCGGCTCAGGTAAGGCCCAGAGAGCGGAGACAGAAAATATTCTGCTCTGCCCTGCGCTGCCGTGGGTCCACCGAGCAAGAAGGACACAGAGACAGCAGCCCAGGTTTGGAGAGACCTGGTCAGTTGTGGCTGACAGTTGTTACATGCTTCCATACTATGAGAGCACCTCGGCATAGACATTTGCAGAGATATCAAATGTGGTATGAAAGCATTGCTGCTGTGAGCCTAATTGTAATTGACAATAACTAGAAGAAAGAGGAAGTGCCCTGTGTAAAGAATTCTTTATCAGTTCACACACAGACTCTGACCCCTTCGCTCTCACCTGAGTTCTCGTCCGCCTCTCTCTCATCGGTGCACACCCCCTGGCCGTGCATTAATGAGTGCAGTGGCCTCTCCACGCCACGCGGCGGGTAGCAGCGCAGGCCCGTGCCACATCGGGGTGAGTAGACGCCACAGTGAGCCCCCTTTGGCAGGGCGCAGGTGGGGCAGCAGCCGCAGCCGGGCTCCCGCACCGTCTCCTCGCAGCCTTCCGGCAGACGGCAGCTGGCCAGTCTCTCCTCAGAGCACACCGGGCAGCGGATGGCCTGGTCTGACAAGCACAACGCCATCATTGACAGGGCAAACACCCAAAAGCCCCAGCAGGATGAAGCTACTGCCACGCCACCTCCACGCACCATGGCAGCCCCGGCACCTGCACACAATCCTTTACCCTGGTGTATGGTCCCCTTTTGCTTCCCCTCTCCTCTCTGAGTGTTGTGCTGCTTTTGATCACTTTCTATTTCAACAGCAGATTTTAGACCAACAAGGGAGATTTGAGAGGAACGCTTTGTCCAGGATGGTCTTTGATATTTTCAGCTGGTTAGTGTTTCAATTGCAGGGACACAATGCCTCTGCTGTATTGCCTCTCCGTTCCTCTGATTCAATTTCACAGCACAGAAATTGGAGCCTGCTCGTGATCTGCTCGGCTGGCGAATGTAGTGGTGATAAGAACTAGTTTTTGTTATGGTGAAATGAACAGTTGCAGGAAGGATATCCACCACTGTGTTCAGGTGAGTGTTGCTCTCTCTTCGAGTGTGAGTCCAGAGGCTTGCCCGCCCTCTAATGAAGCACCAAAAAAAATCTGGTGTCCAAATGCAAAGCAGGTCATCAAAAGGCAGTGTTTTAAGTAACAGCTGCAGTTTCCTCTTCTTGCTGGTGTGCAGTGCAAAGAACTCGCTCCTGAGAATGGCTCAACACGAGTGGCTCTCCTTGGACTTTATACTGGTCCATGGACACGCCTCTTTCTACAGTGAGAGAGGAGCTGAAAGGCACAGCGGAGAAAAGCCAGGCTAAAGCTCTCTCCCTCTGTCTCCCTCTGTCTCTCTCTCTCTCTCTCTCTCTTACTCACAAGCTTATATACACTCTCCCTCACTTGTCTTCTCTCAATCCTGAGTGCACAGAGAGAAAAAACTGCTGAATTGCCCTCTCACTTGTTCACACACAGAATACACTTAGTTCTCTCTTCCCACTATCCCATTATCATTCTTTTCAGTCGAACATGCCCAACATTTTTTTTTTTTTTCGAATGTATTGATTTGCCTTGATTAAACAGAAGAAACATTCCAGTCCATAAAAAACAAAAAGACAGAGGACACATCAGTGCTGTTCCACTTTAATCAACCACACGTATGTGCCTCTGGGGTTGAAAAATGGTTCAAACAACACAACCTCGTGCCTGCTCCTTCAACAGGGTCTCAGTGTGTGTTTGCATACGTGTACATCCAGTGGTCAGTCTAGTCTGTGTTGTTGCCCCCCCCCCCCACATCCCACTCTCATTATGTCGGCTTCTTTCTCTTTCTTTCTGTTGCTACTAACTGGAGTGGGCAGCTATAAAAGGCAAATGGACAGTCTAACCCCCCCAACCTTCCTCGCTGCCGCCCTGCCCCCACCAGTCCTAAAAAAGCCTCCCACCAGTGGGATCGCAGGATAAGTTTTAACAACGCTGCAAGCTGGGATAGTTTATTATACATGTGTGTGTTTCTGATCATCAAGTCTTTAAATCAGTGTGTTACTTTGTTCTTGTTTGCCCGTTTGTGCAGATATGCCCTACACCAAGCCTTTAAGGTTTTGAATCATGGCTTTTATTGGTCGACGTCTCTCTCGCTCTCTTTTTTTTCTTGTGTTCATTTGCCTTCATTTTGCCATGGAAACCCAGCATGTATTATAATGCCTTTGTGAGTGTGCTTTCTTTCGGCTTTTTTCTTCTAGCTGGTAGCTGGTTGCCATAGGCAGGCTAGCGGCAGCAGGCAAGCCTTACAAGGCCGTATACCACTCAGGTGGGTGCTACAGTGCGTGTTGTTAGTAACACGGCACCCAACCCTGCTTGGTAAATGATAAGAAATAAGTCAAGAAAATATCAGTGGCCTTCCATGTGATTGAGCCTTTCTGCATTGTAGGTCAAATATTTGAAAGAAAAACGACATCTGGTCAATTTCAAGTAAATAGCTTTAATGAGATGACTGTAATAACAGTGTACTAAAGCCGTTGGAGAGCTGCTTACTGGTCCTGGAGCTCACAGGAGGGCCAGCGGCTTCATTATGTGTCATTTATGAGGTGTTTGACTGTGTGTGTGTGTATGTGTGTGTGTGTGCGGGGGGTACCGTGCAGGATGGTTACTCAGAGGTTAGGAGGATTAGTAATGCTGTTTTGTAGGTGTTTGCTGTTTGCCAATGAGCTGTATTTGAGTGTGTCTGCAGTTTCATATTGCACCAACAGTATTTGTAACTTGTAAATCTTTGTAATAGACTAAGAGAACTCAATTCTCAACTCAACGTTATTTACATAAGACTTTAAACACAACACAGTTGATCCAAACAGGAAACAGAGGAAAACAAACTAAAGAAGGACGACCACGACCACGACGATGATGATAGTGGTACATGGTCACACAGAGCTCATAATAACGACAGACCTAGAGCGATAGAGCAGAGATAGAGAAGGTCCTGTCCCCATAACACAGTCCTGGATGTCGGGACAGCCAGAAGCCTCTGATGATCTCAGTTCTCTCTCAGTGTGATACGGGGACAGGAGTTCTGTGATGTAAGAGGGGGCGAGACAGATTAACACTATAAAAACAAACATCAGGATTTTCAATGTCAGTCCTGGCAATGACGGGAGCAATGTGCTGCATTTTGAAATAGTTGTTTATTTATTTATTATTATTTTGAACTGAGACGGGATAGACAGGACTGAGTGATACCAAAGTATGAAGAGATGCAGTAATCAAAGCAGGGGGAAATGAAGAGATTACTTTTTCCAGGTATGAAGTACAAAGAATTTATCTGAGTTTGGAAATGATGCGGAGCTGCATGGAGCTTAATTATACTACCTGATTGATTTGTCTCTCAAAGCTCAATCAAGAATCGAATATGACGGCCAGAATTTTTAAGATGTGGTTTAAGAGAGGGAGTCAGTGGGCCAAGATGATGAGAAATGATGTTAGTCAAATGCTGTGCTCTAAATAGAATAACATCAGTTTTATTCTCATTGAGCTGAAGAAAGCTTGCAGCCAGTAAGGATTTTATAATGACATTTTGTGCCTGTATCAGATTAGAGGGACGACAGGAAATGAAGGGAGAGACAGATGAAAAATCACATGCAACAAGTCCCTGGCCAGGAATCAACCAGGGACATAGCAGTTCATGCTCATTGCCTTAAATCCCAAGGCCACCAGGGTTCCCCATCATCTAGATAGTGGGGTTTTATTTTGCTGTTTTTTGGCAGGTTTTTCAATTCATCAGTTCATGTTTTTTGTTTTGTTTTTTGGCCTAAAAATGAATGCCTTAAGTTTAAGATGTGATTGCAGTTGTGGTAAAAATGTTATTTGTACATGATGTCATTGGCAGTTTCTTTTGTCCAATACAGTTTCCAATAAGTACATTCAAACTCAACAGGAACAAGAAACAAAATTGGCTCTGCTGTTTTTAAATGTTGTACAGAATGATATTACTGATTGGGCAGAGAAAAGTCGGAAGGAACAGTAGCATTCTCGTTTGGCCACAAGATGGAGTAATAGCTCCTCAAATGGAAACAAGGCAGGAACCATGTGGACAGCCTGAACTGATCGAACCCCTCATCAGTTCTTTGTTTCACTCATCAACATACAGGATTTTAAACTCTGCCTGCTTAAGTTTAGTAAAGGAATGTTTATAATATAATCATGAAAATGGTCAGGAGTAATCTAAACAATTGGTGTTGCTACTCTGCTGTACGAGCATGTTTTGGTCTTTGTTGCTCCACCTTTTCAAAATAAGTTCCTGTTCCTTTAAAGGATCTCTCCAAAATTCACCGTAGTGACGTTGCGTATATTCCATATTCAGAGAAAGTCCAGTGGCGGAGTGTGGAATCTCCTACTAGAGAGCGGTTCTCCTCCGAGTGCTGAGCAACAAGCAGGTAAGATCATTTTATCACATGTATTATCTTCCAACAAAAACTAAAACCCAAAAAGTACCTTGGTAATAATTGTAACGTGTAGACATGCGCTTTTCAATTTCACTTTGATCGTGTGAGAAAGTTTGTTATTGCTGTATTTTCCTCACTGAATGTGATGTAAGAGTAGTTACTCTCTAAATAATGAAAACTTTCCTAAGTAACAGCTTAGATTTTTTTGTTACAGTTACATTTGTAATATACATTTTATTGAATGATTTAATGACATGTTTTTAAGAGTAAGATACTTTGGGAGGTTTTATTAGTTCAGTGATACAGGGCATCTAAAGCAGTACTGCACAGAGGGATATTTTATTTCCTAATTAATTTTCAAACTGTGGCTACAAGTGTTGGAGTCTCACTGGCTGTGGAAAGCGCTTTTACACTTGCTCCTATGTACAGACCTGGCAGGAAGTACATGTGCAGTGAACATCATCTCTTTCTCATAAGGCTAAATGTAGTGACAGGGTCGAGCAATCAACCGTGGGCCTTTTTTTTTTAATAAACTTCTTTTTATGCTGTCCAACCAACAGGAACAGTGAGATGCAAGCGTTGCTTCTATTTCTTAACATGCTTTGTAGAAATAGTAAGGGGGCTTTTAATAGTGTCAAGAACATAAAGAAAGTTATATTAGTGTCAGTGTCTCTAACAAAATGTCACATCACGAATGTATGCAGCAAACCTGCTTTTTATAATAAAAGAATTGTTCCGTAAACACTTCACGACAGAGTTAGTTGTGTAAGCTGCCATAAAAAGGAATCTGGCGTGACCTGGTTAGATTTATTCAGATTCCAACTACCTCTCATTAACCAGATATAGTAATTTCTCTCCACAGAAGATTTTTTCATCATGGACACAGACAAACATCCTGAATTCATCACCCCAGAGGAAAATGGGATGGGTGAGTATCTGATTCCTCATCTTTAAATGTGAAAATGTACGTGATCAGGCTGCACACATTTCTCCACAGCTGCCACCATCCTGCCTACTGCATTGCCTGAGCGCACATGACTGTAGATTACTGAAAGCTGTATGTGGAGGGGTTTTGTGCGGGTTACAGTTGATATCAGACCACACGTTTTCTATGTCCCCGCAACAGCAAGATGAAGCACATTTAGTGCTCTTGATGAGATTTTAAAATGAGAACTGTAGTTAACTGATGTGTGAAGTTCTCTTAATGAAACAAAAAGTAACACAAAGTTTTTACACATGCACAATGTGTCACTTTTTTCAGACGTTTGCAGTGATGTTGCAGATGTGAAGCCACAGGAGGAGAAAGAAGAGAGGGAGGATAACTCATTTAGTGAGAATGGAATGCAGGGTGCCGAAGGTGTGACAGATCCACGTATGTGTACCCACACACACACACACACATACATACGTACGCTTCATATCTTTGAAATCTTTCCATTACACCTTGCATTTTAGCCATGAAGCTCACACCATTTAGCATCGTACAATTACTTTTCTGACCGCGGGCAATTGGAAAAAGTGTGAGGGACGCTGCTGCATACACGGATATTTGATACAATGAAACGCTCCTGTAATGGGAAAAATGTCAAGTCTAGCAAAGGAACTAAAATAACTCTTATTTTTAGAGTGGCCACTGTGGAGTTCTGTCTTTATCTTCAGGGTTTTAATGGTTTCATATATAAAAGTTACTCAGCCCATAGGAACAAGGACAGGTCTTTGACTTGAGTTAAACATGTAAATAAAATTTCAATAAATAGCCCAGATGCAAGGTTTTTTTATCCAACAGCGGATTAATATAATCAACTATAGGCAGATTTCATTCGGTATGACTGACGTGTCAAAGTAAGAGCCATTTCTATGTCATCCAACGGATCAGACAAGAAAGGTATCATGAAGATCTTGGTGCTCTAGTTATCCCAAGGTATAGTTAAAAGCACCCTCTTTGTGTCTCCTGCATTGGTGCTCATCATGAGGTGTCATTCAGTTCAAATAATTAAATTTAATTTAATCTGCTTTCAACGCTGTTCGGATAACAGTAACAGTGTCAAGTCAACCCCAGTCTGGTTTTGTTCCTTACTGCAGTGTCATGTATTGTATGATAAAAATTACATATTGATTATTTAATGTTATAAAATGAACATTGTCAGATATTATGGGCATTTATTTATATAAACTCAGCAGTGTACCCTCACACCAAAAAACAAAATTTTACACATTTCTAAGCTGTGACCACCTTGTTCACATGATACTTTGAGTGTGGAAATGTTTTACTCAGCCTTGTGGCCTTAGTCCCTTATTTGTCATAAAAAAAAAGAACATGGTGTTACAGACAGCTCTCCTATTTATTGCTGACTGCCACCCATCTGCCCCAGTGGGTGCATTTCCTAAAACCCTGCTCTGCTTCTGATGCGCAGCCTGCGGTTCACTGCTCTGAGACCCTGGACTCTATATCGGGCCTCTCGGAGCTCTGTGTGTGCAAAGTTTCCATAGCACCTCTGAGCGCTTTCCACAATACAAGGCGCTGCTCTTCAGCTCATCACCAGTCACCGCCAAGACCACAGTGTGGTTTCTGGATGGAACTGAGTACGCTTGGGGTGGTTGACACTTAGTAAAAGGCTAGGTGAGAGGTCCTGCAAACCAGGCCTCGGGACTCTGCGTGTCAACAGTTGTGGTGTTGAGACATTTACATACAGTTGATCCTGTATGTTGTGGAAGTTTGACCTACAGTAGGTCAAGATCTGTGAAAAATGGTCAAGAAAAGAACAATGGGAAAAACTTATCATATATCACATATCATAGAAGCAGACCAGAGTTAGTGCTCTGCTGGCTGATAGAGGAAATTAGGGAGTATATTTGGTGCAGATTAACGTTGGATTCTCTGCATCTGTGACACAGGCAATAAACAATCAATCTGACATCTCTTTTTAAAAGCAGATGAGGAATTGGTGTTATCTATGCGAGGCGCGTGCTGCGTCTCTGTCCTGCCCTGGTTCTAGTTTCTCTGTATTCAGAGGAAATGCCTTACCCTTATCTTGAGCAAACATCTTCTGAATCTCTTTGTGACACCATACAGCGGCCCAAATTAAGCTACCCACATTTTGGAGACGTGCTAGTACTAATAGCAAACTTATCAACTAAAAATACAAATGTAGAAGTGAAGTTGTGACAGTGTTTCACGGTTTGTTTGGAGTGGAGTATCATAAAGCTTATTTGGTACCTTATTTGGAAGTGGGGACAAACATCAACTGTTCTGCATCTGTACTATATCACTCCATGTGTCTTGTCTATGTAATAAGGTGATTTTTGTCACTTGTCACTTCATGTGCGTTTACATCAAATGTCACCTGCTCCTCCTTGCTTAGGTGTGATAAAGACCGAGGTAGAGGAGATAGAAGACAGCGAGGAGTACCCCAAGGCTGAAAAAGAAACAGAGATTGTACCAAAAGAGGAAGCAGAGGGTGCTAGTGAAGACGGGATGGAGGAAGGATTTGATGATCAGAGGACAGAGGAGGACGATGATGAGGAGAGGGACGGGGAGGGGGATGAGGAGGGAGATACCCTGAATGAGCCACAGGACCTGTCACTGGTGGACTATTCGCGTTACGACAGCGCGGCCCTTCCAGACGCCCACGCAGGAGCAGCAGCTGGTGCAGAAGAGACCTATGTGCCTGGAGCCGTGGCACCCCGCATCCAGACGGCAGGCAAGCTCAACTGTGACATCTGCGGCCTGTCCTGCGTCAGCATCAACGTACTGCTGGTGCACAAGCGCAGCCACACTGGTAAGCACAGGAACACAGCCCAAACACCTGACCTCAAACACAACAGTTGTGCAATCATCACCCTGTTGATAGCAGGGGGAGATTGCACCTTGCATTGACTAGGTCAAGATGTTTGATCGAATAACTACGATTGAGAGCGCGCAAGTCTGCATCATACATGACGCACGTGTCCTAACCAGTGCTACAGCAACAGCCAGAGGTTGTGAAATGTCCTCTATTGTTGTTCAGATAAAAAGCACATGCAATAATTTTGTGATTTGATCACAGTAACAGATAAGACAACACAACATAGTACATCTACATTATTATTATTTATGTACAATTATCATTATTCTGTGATCATTCTGCCCTGAATTATGCAGTTCCTGTAATAATTACCTCATGCATATGGTTCATGAAAGTATTTAAATCAAGTGCTGAGAAGAAAGTACACTATGGAAAATAATGTTCATCCCATACACATGAAGCACACATTTTCTGTCACGGTCAGCTAAAGTTGTTGTTGGCCACATCTGCACACATCACTTATTACCAGAAAACGAAATTTACAAAGCCTGGCAAGGAATTATTGTTACAAGTGCTGCATTTAATGCAGCGAAAAGTGATTGCTCTCTCTGTGTCTCTCATTCCCGCCATCACTCTTCAGTGTAATCAACAAAGGTTACCATACTAATAGAATAACCATGATGCATTTACTTTGATGCTTATTATTTATTATTTATTATGACTTCTTTTAAGGGATCCTCTGGCATCGTTAGGTTGAATTCATATTGATTTTAGTAGCAAAACATACATTTTTATTTGCAACTTCATTTTACTGGTGAGTAGCTAAATGGTAGAAGAATGTTGCCTTCCAATGGAACTTATGAGGCTGCATTTTCGACACAAGAAGTGAAGTGCACAATATGTTTGGCATGTGTGTGGTTTGAGTCGTGAGAACATTGCTTCTAGGTTTCTGGCAATCAAAGTGGATGTTGCCTTGTTCCCTTTTCAAAGATAGTAAATGATTCTGTGTTTTTGCAATTCACTGTAATGCTAGGAACAAGAAAATATTTGACAGCTAAAGTATATCATAAAGAAACAGTTCATTTAGAAAAAAATAGCATTGGAGAGATCAGAAAATAGAGCTGCAACAAAATTTATTAGTTGTCAATCAGTCGCAAGTTATTTTGATAATTGATAATTGATTAATTGATTAATTGGTTTAAGTCATTTTTAAAGAAAGAAAATCTCTGATTTCAGCTCATTTCAGTTTTTCTCAAATGTGAGTATTTTCCGGTTTCTTCAGTCCTCTATGACAGTAAACTGAATATCTTCGGGCTGTGGACAAAACAAGACATTTGAGGATGTTACCTTGGGCATTAGGAAACATGTGATCAACGTCTTTCACCATCTTCTGACATTTTATGGCTTAAACAACTAATCAGTTAATAGAGAAAATAATTAACAGATTAATTGATAATGAAAATAATCATTAGTTGCAGCCTTATCGCAAAATGTACACTTACAAAGCTGTGAACACCACATCAATGTGTAATCTACGTACAGTCAGACCAATAATCCCAACACAGTGAATCTGCAACAACAGATGACTTACAATTACCAAACTTTTATGTGAAATTAAATATGTTATTAAAAACCAATGTCATGTTAAGATGTGAAATGTGAACGTTTTTTTTTCTTACTCAGGTGAGAGGCCATTCCACTGCACTCAGTGTGGGGCCTCCTTCACCCAGAAGGGAAACCTGCTTCGCCACATCAAACTGCACTCCGGGGAGAAGCCTTTCAAATGCCCGATGTGCAGCTACGCCTGTCGTCGTCGTGACGCCCTGAGCGGGCACCTGCGCACCCATTCTGGTACCAGACAGCCACACACTTGCTCATTCACTCACATGTGAAGCTGATATGCACTGATACTGTATGCACCTGTGTACAGTATCATGTTGGTTGGTTTCTCACTCCTTCATGTTGGTTTCTCACTCCTTTTGAATCTGAACACATGAGGTCTGCTGAGCCTGCATGGCTTTTCCAGTAACACCCTGCCATGCACTCTCATACAGTTACACACATCACATATGAAATCTTACTCACTTGCCTCTGGAAACTTACTCACTTTCAGTTCACGTGTTTTACCTGCAGACGTGCTGCACAATGTCTAATATGCAGATCATCAGTTTTGTATGAAACCACTTAAGGAAATAATAGTCATTGTACCATTTAGATGTTGTTGATGTTTTATGTGTTGGTGATTAACTTTAACTCCTGCTCACAGTAGAAAAACCTTTCAAGTGCAACCACTGTAGTCGCAGCTACAAGCAGCGCAGCTCCCTTGAGGAGCACAGAGAGAGGTGCCATGTGTACATTCAGAGCAAAGGTCCCGCTGAGAGAGGTGAGCAGCCTTGTGTCACCGCCGCTTTCTAACACTCGCTTCATAAACAACATCTTCAAAACTCCAACAGTCCTCACAGCATACAAAAGACACACTTCACACATGCACATAAAGCTGTTAATGTAGTCAGACCACTGCACAGACTACATAAACACACTTTGTAGATTAAACTGTTATTGCTAACAGATCCTGTTTTTATAGCCTCATTAAATTAATGAGCATATGGCTGTTAGCCCATCATTACAACTAAATAGGTTATGGCTGCTGTGGTGTGGAGGCTCGGCACTATAAAGACTGCTTCTCATGTCTATAGCGGCAAAGGGGAAGCCAAATACTGTATGTAGGGCAAATACACACCCTGTATGTCTATAACCTCCCCCCCCAAAATGCCTTTACATACTGACAGGACAGTTGCACGGTTGCAACACACAGACAATGCTGCGCTTCTGTGGTCACCAAATGTCGTAAGTTTATGCCTGATAGTGCCGTAGTGGTGAGGAAGTACATCCTCATCCTGTGGTCTCCTCTCCTGCACTGGTGAAGTAGAAAAGCACCAGGAAGTGAGGTCAAAGGAGCTTCTGATGTCAAATTAATATTGTCGTTCCTCTGTGACTCCGCTTTGAGCAGCTGGTGTGTGTTGCAAGATTTTTTTTCTACTTAGCTCTATAACCACAAACGCTTTGACAGGTGGACAGCCACAGCTCAGTGCTCTCCCTTTACTCATGATTGTGCTCGATTGAGAAGAGGTCTTTGTTTCCTTGTTGCACTTAACTCTCTCACTCTCTTGCTGTCAAGCAGAGGACGGCCAGACATCCAGGGCTCAGATGGGCACTGAGCGTGCTCTGCTGCTCGACAGGCTCGCCAGCAACGTAGCCAAACGGAAGAGCTCAATGCCACAGAAGTTCACCGGTAAGATCAGCTGAACTCACAGCACAGACACATAGAGGTTGAGTTGAGGCACTGACCTTAAGTAGAAGAAACAGAAATGTGTTTGTTTTTTTATTTTAAAGAAGCTCATAGCATTACTTAATATTATGAATGCCTGCATTGTTGATATGTTTATCTATTTAATTGTTACTTGATATTTCTATATCTGTTAAAGCCCACCTGTTTACTGACTTGTGCAGCTATAATATGCTGCTCCCTGTTTTTAATGTTTTTTAAAAATTGTGCCATTTGTGCTTTTTGCTGTGCATTTATGCTTTACAGTACAGAGTTTGTGTTTTGTAGATTATTTCAAGTTCTCTGTCTAAGCTAGTTGTTTGCCTGTCTGTTTGTTTTTGCTGGCCTTCATCTCTTGCCAAACAGGAATTGAGGGCAGAGCACCTGCCTCATACCTGCACAAGAGTGGTCTCCACTGTCCTAAATTCTCTGCCAGAATTGTGTCATAGGTGGGTATTGGTAACCATGCATGGTTAAATAAATAGAGAAAAAAAAAAAAAACATGCACTTGAAACTTCTAGTTACTCACTTTGTATGTTTTGATTCAAACTCAGATAATGTGCCTGGGAGATGAATGATCAAAGGATATCAGTTTCAGTAAATAGCTGACTTTACGGTGCACACATTTTCAATACTTGGCTCTCACCCTTCTGGTTAAGCCTAACTAGCATTGGGTTGTAGTTTCGCAATCAAGCCTCAAGCTGCTCGCAAAACGAGGGTGTATTGGCAAAAAAGCCCTCCTACAGCTTTGTATCAGGTTGACAAATGAAGTGAGATCTTTCAATATGACAACCACAGGGGGAAAAGAGAAGTAAGTCTGCAACCGCAGAGAGAGAGAGAGAATAGGCGGGAGGCGAGAAACGTGAGCAGGTGCCTCTCTGACTATATACTTCTGTGGTGCACTAGAGGCCTTCGTCTGCGTCGTCTGCTTCCTCTCAGCCTTCTGTCCTCTCATGCCTCCAAGCTCAAATGCTCTCTCAAGATGCTCTGATGCTTTAAAGCTTCTTTTGTCCTGTGAACCTGCATGTTCCAGTTTACTCTGTAGGTTTTACTTTGTCTCGCCCTAGGGGTGCACATTTTTCTCATTGCCTCTACTCAACACCAAAGTGAGGAACCCTTATAGTCCTGTAAGGATCTCTATTAGATCTTTTTCCATCTGTAAGCTTTAACTGCTGCTTGCTGCCTGTGGTATTTCTCTGCTCAAGTTGTCGGAATAAATATGTGAAACCTCCTCCTGCAGAGTTTTGAGTGCCCTTTTTTCTCGTGTTGCTGGTCTAGGCGACAACGGTGTCTGCCTGGACCTGAGTTTTAACAGGGAGCTGGTCCACCGAACTGACATCAAGGACCCTCCGCCGGGCTCCCCAGGGCCCGACACCCACCATCAGTCCATCCTCACAGGGTCAGAGGGTGACCCCACTCCCTCCCACAGGCCCTACCCCATCCCATTAAGCCGTAATGACATCAGCCCCATGGGCCTCACCAACGGCCACAAGATGGGCATGCCGCTCCTAGGCCTCCCCCATGCCGCCCAGCCACCCCTCAGCATGGACTCGTTCCACAGCGACGGTTCCCAGATGTCCCAGCCCGTCATGTACAGCTTAGGGCACCTGCTGGGAGGGCTGAACCACCAGAACGGCATCCCTCACCCACACACCCAGCACATCCCGTTGTCACCACTGGATGCTTTACGGGTGGTTCGGGGCGACGGGGAGGCAGGAGCGCTGCCCGGGGCGGTGTACCCCTGTGGCCACTGCAGGGTGATCTTCCTGGACTATGTCATGTTCACTATCCACATGGGGTGCCACGGCTTCCGCGACCCGCTCGAGTGCAACGTGTGTGGACACCGCAGCCGGGACCGTTACGAGTTCTCCTCCCACATAGCCCGTGGCGAGCACCGCCTAGAAGTGAAGTAGCTTTCATTCATGCAGACGTTCATGCTTACACACACACACACACACATGCTCAGACAGATATCACTGTATGAGCACACATACAGATTTACTCATATAAGTAACTGGTAGTATCAGAAATGAAAGCATGAAGTAGCAGCTATCTCTCTGTATGTTTGTTTGTGTGTGTGTG